TTACTGGTTTTTAATTTAGTTATTAATAATATTGTAATGCGCTTTTGAGTATTTTTATAGAAAAAGCGCAATATAAGTATTAAATATTATTATTATTATGTTGAGTTTCCGTATAATAGAGACATTTAGATTCGAGGACAAGAACGGCTAAGAGTACGAGATTTGATTTAAAGTTTGTTCGCGTATTTTCAAAAAAGAGACACCTCGGAATTCTTCACTGTACTTTTTTTCACCAGAAAAGTTAGCACTGTTATCGTTATTGAAGGAGGTTGAGCCCTCTACCGATTGCAAAATGCCAAAACTTCTAACATTTGTTAACTTGTTCCCGCCACTACGACACTCTCGCTAAAACTCGTAGTAGAATGACGACGGTTGTCACGTTTTCCCGCCAAAATGACACTGGTTCACGTGCGAGCACTACTCACTACTGAGAAAATCTCGTACTCGTAGTCGATCTCGTCTCAGAATCTAAAGGTCTCTACTTCACTTATGCTACTACTTTGACACTCCGCGCGCACGAGAAAAACCTCAATGGTATCCCGGGCAAGGGGCCAGTGGTTATTTCATAAAATGACCGAGTAAGCTAAGTTAACTACAAAGTGGATTAATCAGTGCTCCTTGATTCTCTACAGGCTATTATGATATTGAAAGATGTTCCGTACAGAGATGGTAAGGTTTCATTTCATCTTTCTACAACAGAATTACAAGTTTTCAAACCATTGATTCTTCGAAGCTGCCGACTATTGTAACCAAAAGAAATTCCCTTTCGCATGATTGAGTTAAAAACTAATTAATCTCACAAACCTTCAACATTCAATTCCTTTTTCCAGGAAGTTCTAAAACACCGTATTTTACTTTACTTTTATTTCCTACCCTTCACTTTAGCAATTAAAAAAGAATAAAAACAAAAACGAAAAAAAAATTCTGTCAACAAATTGTTTTTCAAACATCTTGCAACATGTTAGATACATTTCACCTTGCTGGATAGTATTATCCCAGGACTTTAGGAATAGCTATATTTCTGAACGACAATTAATTTATGCAAAAATAGTCAACGCTTCAAGCGTCAACACGCACAGCATTATTCTCTTCATTAACAGGGCAGAGTGATAGAGTGCGCCAGAGAAAGCGTAGTCTCTTGTCGTGTCGTGTGTTAACTGTTTTATTTTTTTTTCTTTTTAGCCATCGATTTACTGTCTGACTGGGACGAGCGTGGTAAATGGGACAAAACATTTGATGGCGTTTCATTCCTTGATCAGATGGGTGACTTCAAAGTGCTGAAATGGTGAATACACCCTTACTCCATGTACACGATCTATTTTTCCGGGGTACCTCCTGGGAGTTCTTGGTGGGGGTGTGTAGCCTGGTTCTCCGAATCCTGACCCTGATCCTGATCCTGATCCTGATCCCAATTGTCATTTTTTACACCATTTTCAGACCTGGCCTCTAAAATTCATACCCGTTTTCAGACCTGGAGGTGGTCACAACGCTCAACAAACGTGTTTACATTGACAGAAATTATGTCATCATTTGCCGAGATTATAACGCCAACAAAAAGATTTCTTTATTTTCTGTTCATTTATAATTAAAACGACGAACACATTCATACACTACCGTAGTTCCCTTGTAAACCATACCTGATTCCAGACCAAAATGGGCAAAATCTATACCCGTTTTTAGACCAAAACGGCGCCAAAACCACACCCTTTGGGGCGGCACATACCTATACACCCATATAAGGGAGTACCCCCCTGGGTCTATTTCTCATACTTTATGCCGACGCATTTGTTTGTTATATTGTAGATCACTTTGCTGTGCGTGCAATCCCAACTTCTTGTTAAACCCGTAAAAAAAAATGCAATAGTGTGCTGAAATTTCTCAAATGAACCGTCTAAAATTCTGATTTCTAAACTTTTTTTTTTTGCAGTTCTCACAATAAAAAGAATCGTTGTCTGGTGTTGGCCAGTTTGGATCGCGAAGACGAGGAGCCGTATTACGCGTGGGCCTGGAAATCAGCAAATCATCCGAGTGTTCCTGGGGAGGACACTAAACTCACAGTCATGAGGTTTGCTAAAACACTTTTGTCCGAGCAGTTTTTGTGACAACTTTGGAACCGTATTAAAGTAAAGTAACCGTTAGGGCCAGGACGCTTGATGCTGTACTTTGTTAGAGGAAATTGTCGCAGAATTTGTGGCGGGCAGAACCCACTCTTGTGACAAAACCGTTTTTATAACCTTTACGATTGTTGTGAGGACAAAACGGATTTATCTCACTCAATGCATAACATGGAACACTTAGCAGGAGCCCCCGTCATTGGTAGACTGCCAAACAAGCTCTCTATTTGAAAATCAGTTTTCAAGGCGTGAGATTCTCGCGCTAAGCGCGCGAGCCTCGCAGATCCGTAGGGCGTCACACCATTCGTTTGACCGTTTGCGGGTGCTTTACCTGCACAAGAATACGGCCTATTGTGTAGTCTATTTCAGTGGCGTTTAATGTACCCTATACACACACACACTAAACCAGTTAGCTAGCCAAACTAAAGCCTTTGATTTTTGAGACCTTAAAGTAGCCAGCGTCCCGTGATTAAAATTTGATCCAACTGGTGCTTGAGGAGGCTGCTTGGAAGGTGGTTGTGGACGAAGTTTGCTTTGAAAAACGAAAGACTTATGAAAAGTTTCTTGAATAACTGTGTTGTTGTCACTCTTGAAAATTTATTTACTGCAAATCTGAATAGCCTTACCCATAAATACTGATGTGTAATACCTTGATATACTTTGCCTATTGGCTTTTCCATCTATTTTTTTCTGTAGGTTGGACACAGGCATTTGCGGTGCAATAATTCGTCCATACCACGATGCGACTCAGTCATCGAAAATCACGTTAATTACACAGGTACGAGGCTCTATCCCCAGTTCCCTGAAAAGCACTTATCTGATTGGAAATCCGAGCAAGTGGCTAATCTGGCTGAAGAAGCATCACGATTCACAAGTGAACAAGACTGCAGAACAAAACAAGGAAAACGATGATTCCTCTTCGGTTTAAGGAAGACCATAAAGGAAAACGGCAATCATAGCGCTCAATTAGTTCTTTTGAGTAGAATTTGCTTTAAAATCAGGAACACATAATCTAGCAAGGACATTGCTATAACTCTTATAATTCTTGGGGCTGGTTATTTAAACGAAGTCTAACCCAAGCCGCGGTTTAAGAAATCTTTAGACCTCCAGATCTCCTCCATAGTGTTTTTTTAAAAAATGCTTTTCTATATGCTTTCATAAAACTTTCATAATAAATGGTGTTTAGATAAAACCGTTGGGCAAAATGAAAATGGCTTAGAACGCGTTTTTTTTAAACGCAGGCTAAACTACGTTAAACAACTGGCCCTTAATTTTTATTTAAAGCATTGATGAATTTCTTAGGAGCACGTTTGGTTATAGTAATAATTTCTATGGCATTCGTTTTATGAAAACATAGTATTTCCACAATTGTGAAAAACGAAAACTTTTTTACAATCGCGGCAAAGTATAATGATGTCGCTCGAGCCCCTCCACTTTATCGGTTGCTATGATGTTGACCAATCCCGCATTCCAGTGAACTCGACGCTTGTGGTCATAAAATGCAGTGATTTCTATGAAATTCAGTCCACCTAAGGCTCGACGTCGTTTCTATGTGTGTGCGTGCTGTTGAGGAATACGATAAAGGTCAACTTGTTACTCAAAGCAAGCCTCGACAAGCTTAATGTCACTGCACATTTTTGTGCACATCATTATGGCGCTACTGGGCGTGTCGTCTTCACCTCAAATGCCCACTAAGAATTGAGTTCTAGAAATAAGCCTTAAAGGACCTAGGATACGCAATTTCAGGGTATTTCAGTTCTTACAATCGATAACAGAGTTGACTGAAATATCAAAATTTCTATTTTAACCCTTTCACCCATGATACAGTAGCTCGCCAGCAAAGCAAAAGTTTCCGCACACTTTCAAATTTTTTTTTTGGTAAAATCCTTAGAAACTGAATGGTACCGTACAAAAATTCTACCAAAGGGGTTAATTTGGATTGTAGCATTGTAGAGTAGGATCTCGTTCATAAATGCCAAACTTTTGAGTGAAAAATATGGCATCATAATTTGGTCCTCTGGAATTGAAATATCAGAGTTAAACTTGAAACTAACACAAGAAAAATTAGCACTGAAGAGCCAAAAAGGAACACGGCTGGCAAAACTGGAAAGCATTAGGACGGCTCTTTGAATAGATACTGAAAATGGTTTTAGAACATGGTAGGAGAAGTGATATCACTTAAGATATGTGCACTTAAAGCAGTAATTTTAAATTATAATTTAAATTTAGTTTCTACAAGCTTGCGACTTCGTAGCTTTTTTTCAAAGTGCTCTTCTAGAGTGAAGGAAATTGTGCGAATTTTAACAATGGTTGCATCGACAGAGCAATCGCTTGAAATAGGGTGAAGAGTGCTTTGATTTTATGCTCAGATCACATAAAGTTTTAATGTTTGCCATTTGATAAATATGGTTTGAATATACTTTCCTAAATATTGCGAGTTTATATAACTTTTTTACAAAGTAAAACTTAACGAAGAGCTGCCCCAAATTTCCCTCACTTAAAGATGAGATTAGTGTGTAGTAAATAAGCTAGTGAGTGTTAATAAAATAAAGTATTTTGACAGATCGTATAAATTTGTTTCAAGAGGGTAAGCAAGTTTAAGGTTGCATGGGTTTGGTACGGCAAACAGTGCAAACAGTTACTGTCGCCATCTTATGCTCGCTGTGAACTTCCCGGCGTCGTTTTCCCGCCTGCTTTCTTAAAGATAGGATCGTTAAAAAATCAACGTTTTGAATGATTGGGCGATTTTTTACGATCTTTGAAAGTCGTTGCGGCTGATATAGAGGCTGTGATTGCCGAACTATTTTTTTCAGCCGATCCTAAAGCTACCTCAACGTTCGTTCATGGTACAGCATTCACTAGCGGTTACTGAAATGTGAAATCTGAATCCACAGCAAGACACTAAATTCCTGAATTGCAAATTTTCCACAATTATACTTTGGGCGAAACAAAAAAGACATTTCCATGCCATGTGGTAGTTATAAGGGCAAAGAGAAGGAGAGAGTTCATAGCGGAGGCCCCTGGCTCCCAGCACCGCCCCCCCCACCCCACGCGCTGCTGTTTCGATTGGTGATCTCATGATTGCTACCCGGGGGAGGCACTCCGCATATGAAAGGGGTTGGAATGCTTGTCGTCTCGCTTGTAAATTTCGAATTTTGGTCTCACTTTGGTTGTCTGGGCAAAACGCCATCACATTTAGCTGTGAAGGTCTTGCTTAAGGTTGCACGTAAAAAAATATAAAAATGTGTGCATTGTCTGTGTTTTAACATGGTCTCTTTCAGGGGTCAAAAAAGCTTGGGCTACGCCAAGATCGGTCTCTTTTACGGGTTTAATTCAAAATTTCTGACGAGCATCCACACTCCTTTCATATGTGGAGTCCCCCCCCCGGGATTGCTACCCCACAATGAGTTTAAGGTCTCTGGGGGCTAAATTAACCACAGTTTGTTCTTAAAGGAGATTTGGCCGTATTGCTGCCTTACTACGCTGATTTCAGATCAGCTCCATTGCGACAGTAATACTACAAGAGCGGTTGGTGTTGAACTACGCGAGCAGCCCATAATCATGTCGTATCAGGAAAGAAAACAGAATTGTTATTAAAAAATTTTTTAGGATACTTGGAAGCTTTGCCTGCTGCTCACCATGGCTTGTGACAACTCCTGTGCACGTCGCACTGCGCGAGCATTACGAGTAGTTTTTTTAGTGTAAAGCCACAAAGTTTCTTCACTGCTAATGCAGTTCTTCAAGCTTACATGTACATTCAGTCGGTTAAACAGTGTACATGATAACTTTTGCTTGGCCCGGTATCGATTAAAATGATTTTCTGATTCAGAAAAATAAACTTTCTAATTGTGGATATCTTCTGATGTCACAAATCATTTCAGTTTTTAATTAAAAAAAGAGGCGCGCGGACAGAGTTAAAAATACAGTATCGTCGTTTCTAATATTGCATCAAGGAGACAAAATTGTAATTCCTACATTTTACGGGAACTACGACTCTACCATCCGCCAATAATAATTCGGCACATCACTGGATAAAATGGCCGTAAATTTGATTAATTACGCATTCAAAGGAAATCTACGGAAAGTAAAGCGTTGTATTGAAAATGGCGTTGTTGTGGATGCTTGTGAAAGTTCAGGAAATTCAGCTCTTTACTATGCTGTATGTCGCGATCGACGAAAGTGCGTGAAATATCTTTTAGAGCGCGGAGCAGACCCAAACAGGTAATGCAGTTACAGGCTATATCCATAGGGAACCCATTGGTATACTTGGTAAGCCCTGGGTTGTTATCCTTGAGAAAGAATTTATATAGCTAGTCCAGTTTCAGCTGGACGGCTAAAGTTTTAGCTAATTTTATAAGTTACATAAGGATTGAGGGGACAATTTCGCCAGCGCTCTCAACGTAACCTTGAAAAAAAAAAGGTTGTAATACCATTTGGTATGAAGACCTAATGGCGCTCTTTTTGAGTCGCTTCCTGAGACAAGACACTTTACTCAAGATAACTTCTCCTCCTGAACATTAGCATCCATGCGATAGCCAGCAATCTCCTCAGAAGAGGAGCAGTCCTGACTGCTACTTCTCCGTGTGACAAAACTGATATTACTATATGGACGTGTCAGTCGGGGTGTGACTGTTCTTTGGGAGTCTTCCTTTATAAGATGCATGTATAAAGTAGCTAATTACACTTCATGTGTTTTATGAATGACGTAGCAAATAGCTTGCGTAGAAGAACGGGGCGCACGAGGGAGACACGTGAGAGGAGCGCATTTTACTTCGAAGCGCTTGCTGGTACTTACTCTAAGCAGCAAACGCCAGTTAACAATAGTTAACCGAACTGGAAATATATTTCGCTAGGTCGCTACCAAAAATAATCACCCCTTTTGATATGACCACAAAATTACGAAATGATTCAGGAGTTGTTAGAGACGTGTTTTAGGTAAAACAATACTGCGTATACAGCGAGATATTCATTTCAACTGGCTGTCCGTTTGTGGCTCACGCTAATAGTCGACTTAAACAGTTTTATTATCACCCTTTATTTTTCTGTCACTTTTCACATACAGAGTAAACAAGGAAGGCTGTACCCCTGTGAATGCAGCCTGTCTAAACAAAAATCTTGAATGCTTGGGATTGTTGGTCCGACATGGAGGCTCACTGGGAAAAGTTTCCACTCTTCAGACAGAAAGCGCCATCGAGTCCGCCCGATTAACGCGCCATAAAAAATTGATTAAGTTTGTAAGTCACTTAACAAACAAAGACCTTACTGACGATAGACGTGATTTCTTGGAACCAACAGATGAAGATGGGCAAGAGGTAATTTTTTTCAATTTAGTTAAAACACTATTCGTGCTTAGCTTGACCTCAAGCGGTATTTCGAATGCTTTCCCGCTACACCTAGCGTGTGTTCAGACACCCACTCCACTCCAACAAATCCCCCTGAGTTTGTTTGAGAGGGAAGGGGGCGGCTGTACAGATATAAACATATATTTGTATCTTCTAGGGGGAAGACAGCAACCATTCCTTTCCAGAGTTGTCAGCTGCTGTGCCTCAAATAACAGGTGACCAGTTAAAAGCGCCTCAAATGAAATTGCTGGATGATCTGCCCCACATGACCCTACAAAATGCACTGTGGTTTTCCACACCCGTGACAGTGAAGCACTTTAAGGGCAAAGAAAGTATGAAGCAGCTTCTGATGAAAGAGGCAGATCTACTTAGGTAAATATTTGACTGATCCACTGACACCGTAGACCACGAGCAGTCTCCTTTTTTTCTTAGTCTTTCGAGCGAAGCGCGCGAGACACGAAAATAACCACGCCCGTTGCTACCCTCGTTTCTTGCGCCTCTCGACTTCGCCGCTCGACGCTCGCGCGCTGGTGCACTCTCCTAACTAAATCAGGGAAAAAGAGGGACCGCTAGAAGTCTACTCACACCGTTTTTCAACCACAGTCAGCCCTCTAGGTCGGTCTCAGGCCTTCTTTACATGCAATAGAAGATACGTCTAGCTGTTTTCACTTGATACTAATTTAAATGAAGATACCCTAGAAGCATTCAGTTGCTGTGATGACAATAAAAGCGTTTGCAAATCAACCCGAACAAATGTAGGGGCTTAAAGGGAATTTAACTCATGGCTCCCGCGGATGCGTTAGCGTTGCAGTGCTCTACCAAAAGAACCATAAACTGGTAGCAGGCCAATTGAGTTGAGTTGAGTTGAGTTCATCTTCACCTTCGCGTACGCTCTGGAGTAAATAAGACATTCTTTCTTTATCCACTGACGTGTGTAGATGTGCAAACTGAATAATTTGAACTACAATAATTTAATTCATTTTTTCTTTCAGCTGGCTACGTCATCCGCGATTCACTCTTCTAATGGCAGTATGCCTGGACTATGATCCTGAAAACAGCTGTTTAGTTCTGGAGCATTTTGAATTAGCATCTCTCAACCACCTTCTTTACAAGACCAACACTGAAATAAACCTACCCCAACGGGTACATATTATGTTGGATGTAGCAGAAGGAATGACATACCTTCACGACCATTCTATAGTGCACAGCTTTCTTAATTCCTTGTCCATTTTAATTCATGAAAAGTTTAGAGGAAAGATAGGCAACTTGGAGTATTCACAAGAGACTAAATGTGAAGAACAAATTCAGGACGACGTATGCTCAATCCAAAAGAACTGGATGGCACCCGAGCAGTTGTCAGGCACGCCTCCCAATATGTCGAGTGACGTTTACAGGTTTGTTCCTTTCTTCACCATTCTTTTTTCTTGTCTAATCAAGGCCAAATGATTCGTACCAAGAACCAGTTAATTGTCCATTGCTTTCAGCCGTTTTTGTCTGTACGTGTAAGATGGTAGCCAAACGGGGCGTGATGAGCGACGTACGAGTTCTTCTCAACTTTCAAAACAGCTTAATCTTGCGGGCACATGAAGAGGGGACATACATGAAACCACCACTCCTGCTTTTTGAGGGGCATTTTCGACAGGGGAACTGGTAAACACTTTGATCCCGGTTCAGAAACTGAATACTACACCTGACCCAGTCGAAAACAAGTCGTATGCGCATCCATTCATCCTTTTTATTAGTAAATTTATGGTACTTAACTATAGTTAGAACAAGACAGATAGCCACCATTCAACATCAGATTTCACTAACACAAACCAACATCCAATTTTTCAATCAGCTTTGGCGCCCTCATGTGGGAGATTCTGGCCAGAAAGGTTCCTTGGTCCTGGCTGCAAAAGAGCTCAGTCACTCAGGCTGTCTGTGTGGATCACAAATCGCTACCTATGTTGGATATTTGGCCGTTCTATGTTCAGTCTATTATAAAACCGTGCCTTCATGATGCTGCAGCTCGACCGAACTTCCGTGCTGTTCATAGTAATCTCCTGGCTATTAAGGACAGTGGCGAGGATCTAACTTCAGTGGTTTTGGATGGGGCTTTTCCTTACTGGCTGGAAGAAGAGTATGGTGTTATATATAGTGAGATCCGCCCAAATTCAGGACCATCACAGCCAAATAAGTGTAGGTCCTCGGATATTCATGTATTGCTTAGGCGCTCTTCGTCTGCAGTCCATCATCACCAGAGACGCCGGAGCACGTCTGTCAAGGCAGGACTGAGAGATCTTTTGAAAGTAATGTCAGATCACTCTAAGAATTCTCCCAGGGAAAAAGAGATTGAACGATTTGGTTACCAGATTGCCGAGCGGTTGGCGTATGTTCGAAACATTCGTCGACACGCGCGAAATCATAATCGTACAGGATGGGCAAAGGAAATTGTTTTGACAAGAGCGTTAGAAGGAGATATAGAGCGAATCAAAAAAGCAGAGCAATCAGGAATACCAAGTAAAGCAAAAGGAAAACAAATGAGCAGGCACGGAAGGCGGTATAGTGTCTTTGACGAGGAAGGTTTTGAACGAATACAAACGATATCTTCTAAGTACAAGAAAAAGAATTGGTCCAAAATTTTACATGGAGAAGAGAAATTAAAGAATTCAATGGAAGGGTTTAAGAGACTGGTATTTGAGGAGCTTAACGCTCAAGGCTACGAAAATGAACTGCTGACTGTAAGTAACGATGTTTCAGAACAAAGCGAAGTATATGAAGATTTGGGTAACGCAATCAAAACAAGAAAAGCTCAAATGGAAAGTACTTGTTCACTGCCAGAGAGTAAGGAAAGCACCCCAAATAGAATAAAAAGGCAGGATTTAACAAAGAGTCAGGCAGAAATGAGTAATGCAGGCTCTGAAGTCTTGGAACTGTCAAGTTCCGAGGACCCAAAGATGTCGATGTATGCTAAGCCCTATCAGAAAAATAGGAATTCTGTTCCAAAGGAGATGAGTATGACAGAAAACGGAAGTGAACGTAAGAAAGTAGCAACAGAGTCACATGAAAAAGGTTCAAGCCAAATGACAAGAGGCACATTAGAAATGAGTGGAGCAGATCTGGTGCGCGCACGATCCCAGTTGGGGAAAGTAACTCTAAAAAACTCGACATCAGATCTTAAGGCTGACATCACTGATAGAGCTGACGCCAACCGCAATAAACAACAAAACACCGAAGTAACACACTCTGACATTCACGGCTCTAGTTCCCACGGCCTGTACGCCATATCAGACTTTTTACGAGAAACGGAATCGTTCAGAAAAGAACGTTCAGAAATGATAGCCTTACGAAGTCAAAATACTTCAATCTCAAGCGCAGTAGTAGAGGGTAGCTACGCAGAGAGAATGATTAACAGTCGGCCCAGAGCGCAGTCCGCTAGGCATGCGCAGCCACGTCGAAAATCACGGAGCAGAACAGTTTTGTCAGATAAAAGAGTCAGCATAAATGGTACAGTAGCAAATGTACCACAAGCTTACCCTAGCAGTAGTCGTGACCTCTCGGGCGTTAGAGTCGAAAGATCAAATGGACAGCCAATGTTCAGGCTGCGATCAAAATCTGACTAAATCAGCGACAAAATAAAATCATTCCATTTAGGAAGTTTCTTAGGAGAAAGCTCAAACAGAACAGTTAAGTAATCAAGTGAATGATACCTTTATGCGAAATTTACCCAAGTAAACGGTGAAATTGCCCTTTAACAAAGTGACCACAAAAGAGGGATACGTTTATATACTTTATGTAATTGTATCTACCACCGAAAAACTAAAAGAATGATTACTGAAAATACAATCCCAATATACAAACTTAAGAAATATATTAATAACATCAGTGTTTAGATTCTCACAGACCTTTTTATGCCATATGGTATAAATAATAAACAGACCTAAAAAGTCAGATAAACTGTATCTATATCAAATACGTGAATTACGCAGTGATGTACATGTATATATGCTAAAGAATATGTATGAAGAGTCAATGAAACTGTAGAACAGAGAAATGATTCTTGCCTACTTCGGTGTACATGTACAGTTAAAATATAATTACATGTATAATTACTAAAAGAGAGACTAACTTATTACGTTAAAATCTATTCTTTACATACATGTCCAAGGTAAAACATGATAAAACAGTTTACTTCTAAAGCGCGATAAGTGGCTCAGTTCTTTTCAATAATCTAGAAACAATTCTCTCGATATAAAAAGGAAAATTTTACTATTCTGAAATTCCTGAAAAATTACGCTAAAAGTTAGCTAGCTTACAAACCTTTGGAACATAAAAGAGAATTAGCTATTTTAACAACTGCAGATTAACTAAGGTAAAATAGTTTGCTAATAATTACGTTGTTTAGATAATAAATGTGCTAAAATGTCGTCTTTCTATGGTTCTTTAGAATCTTCTTAAAATCACGTCTTTTCTGCTCGAACACTAGAAGACTCGTTAACTAAATCTAATGCCATAATTCTGTTTGGTGCGTAAGCATTTTCTTAATAGAGCTGTGAATTTCTTGACTGACCGCTTCAAGCCATACTCTTTTGGCGCTGGACGTCCCGTGCTGATTACAGTTTGTATCTGATTGTAAGGTTAAGAAGCTTCAAGATACACACTTTCATAGTAAATGGTTTCAATCAATTGCGGTACACTATGAGCGTAATGACCTCTACACTGGTTCTTAAAGCGACTGACAGCACCACTCCTAATCAGAACTAAACTAAACGCGGATCACATTCAAGCAGTAGGACGCAATTTTATCTGAGAAATCCAAGGTAGGAAAGAGAACACTTTTGACCACTTAGTGTGGAAGACGCTGAAAGAGGGTTTTTCTTCACCTCCAAAAAGAGAACATTATGCATCAACTAGTTAGACATTCATCATCGCAAAAGATACAAATCTAAATCCAACTGCTGTTTCAAAACACCAGACAGGACAAGTTCTGCGCTGTGTATGTCTGAAAAAAAAAAAAAGAAAAAATCAAAGTGGGTGTGAATAAGTGAACAAAGTGACACTGGTTCCGTGGTTCGTACAACTTCAGACAAACAAATTTCAAGGATTTTTCAAGGACAAATCACAGTTTTCAAAGACTAAGATTTATTCAATAAATCAGCACTCGATAATCCCCTTCTGAACACCTTATTGGCTAAAACACGTCATGGAGTCATTTGCGATTTTTACTTCAATCATCAGCCACGACTGAAAACAACATTTTCTACTACTTGCAGCAACAACGCTTAGGAAAATGACTGGGCATTGCTTGCAATTGCATCTGAGGTGCAGAAACAGCATTTGAAACAAAGAAACAGAAGTAAGATATTGCTCATGCTCCAAATGTTTTAGACAAGGTACTTAATTTCATGGATTTGTCAAGAGCTAATAAAGAAATTAAGTACTATTCAAGGACTTTAACTACTGAAATTCAAGACCTTTCCAAGATCGTGCGAACCATGGGTTCACAAAGATGCACAGGCAAATTGCTTTGATATACGTATAGCATAACAAGCGTTAAATTGAAAAATAAAAATCTGAAGAAGTATTAATTTAATAGATAATGGAAGCAGTTAACTTAAGACTAGAGAGGCTAAATAATCGCAAACCAAAAATGGATCATTTGTTAACAAAGTAACATCTCCTTACCAAATCCATTCTTCATAAATTCGGAACATAACTGAAAATCCCTGTCACAGCTTATTACTAACAAGGTTGGTGTTCCCTACGTGGAAAAAAATAGTTTACAGTCTGAATGTAAAGCTGTATTATTTTGTTACAGTTTTATTGATACGATAAAGAGTCAACATGTACGGTTGGTGTTTGGTTTTTGCCGATAACGTAAGTCTGTCAGTTACGTCTGTTATCCACGAAAAACGATTGGAAATTGGTTTTTATCGGAAAATACAGGTTACGAGTCATTTTGAGAAGACATTAAAGTGCTTGAATCAACAACAACAATTGCGTTAACGCCTCAAACATAACTTCCTTTTTTAAAAATCTGTTGAGGGCCTTACCTGTTCAGTTAAATTCTTTTTGAAGTCTGTCAACTGCTGTTGTGAAGGAACTTTCGGCAACACCTGGTGTTCATATAAACACAAAGAAAAATGTGAATAATCTAACTCAGGGTTCATACTCTTTCCACGACTTTTCCCATCACCTTTACAAGTTTTTCATGACCTTAGGTTTAGCTGCCACTTTCGAAAACTTTTAAAACATTTCTTGTTTTAAGTTAGATTTTTTTGACCCACAGAGTGCCACGAACTTTTTGTGGGTTCTAATTTTTGGGATTTTCCCAGCGATCCGCAAAAACAAGGTCCCGCAAATAAAAATTACCGCAAAAATTTACTCCAGCGTAAATATTCTCTACCTTAAATTCACTACACAAAAATACAGTACTAAGAAATCGTGTCTGTTAAATTACAACTTGTCTCTTTCGTTCAGAAACGAAGCGGTATACAATGAAATACTGACGCACACCGTAGTATTGTTTCAAAATATGTATTTCTTTTGTACGTTCTCAATGAAAAAGAAAATATTATCAATGCTGGGTACTGGGCACTTTCTGAAAATCGCAAAAATTAATTCCCAGCAAGAAAAACCCATCTGTCCTAATTGCAAAAATTAGTTTCCGCAAAGTACAACAGACATAAACTCTGGTGTTCACCAAAATGCATGCCGTTTGCGCTGTTATGTCTCTATCTTGCACCCTCCTTACTTTGACATCTGCAGTAAAAAAACTACCAAACATAAATCCATGACTTTCCAGGCCTGGAAAATATATTTTTTTCATGACTTTCCAGGTTTCCCTTGACTAGTATGAACCTTGTTAAACTGTTTAAATATTTCATTTATATTGACTGTTGGAGTTACGACAAAACAAACCTGGCCTCCTGCACACTGGATGATTTCTTTCATAGATGCGGGACTGGGCTCGATGTTTTGAGTCACATATACTGAGATGCCCTAAGTAAGAAACACAAAACCAAAAGGGACTACGATTGACTGCCAGTCCACAAGTAACTGTAAGGTCCATAGCCACCAAATGTCCTTTGCACCCTAACCAACTCAGTAACAAGGGTCTTATGGCCAAATTTGAAGTCAGAAATATGGGGGACAGGCTTTTTATCCTATTATCCCACTCCCCCACGGGAAGGCAAGAAACAGGACACTGTGTTAGTGAGCATTGTTTAGAATGTTGGATTTCAAATAGCCTGTGTACAGCCGCCCCTTTCCCTCAGAAACAATCAGAGAATGTCCCCTTTTTTTTTCTCAGGGGAGAGGGCGGCTGTACTTAGGCTAGATTTCAAACCGGTCACTCCGGCTGATCGGCCACTAGGTCGAGTTAATTCTCGCTATACCAAGTTTATGTCCTCTTCAATCTGAGGGGTGATGTCATTACCTAAGTATTGCGCGAAAATTTTGACACATGTAACTTTCATCCAGAAAGAGAGCCATCCAACTATTTTGCAGAGAATTTTTTTTTCACTTTCTCGTGCCATCGCATTTGGTTGAAGGCCAAGTGTACGACAGACACTAGTCACGTGATAATGAACTCTAACAGCCATGGCAGTAAATTCGCATTGAATAAAATTAATAGTAGTAAACCTGCAAAAGAGGGCGTGCTCTTGCTCTTTGTAGCGATGTTGTCAATTTCATGTCATACATTTCCTCTGACTGGGCATCTTTGATAGTAAATTCAGCTGGGTCTGGACAAACAAAATAGCAAACAATATATATAGAAAAACTAAGAGTATAAAGATGCAAAAAACCTAAGATGTTAAGTATCTTAATAAGGTACAGTAAAACGGACTACAAAAACGTGCGACTCGTTTTACAGCATTTCTGCAAAACGAGTTAAAAAGCGATGTTGCGCGTTTTACTACCCACATTCAAACCTGTCTTGCAACAAATCAGGTTGTTGCAGGGTGCGAAAATTTGTTGCAGAAAGTAGAGGGTAGTTCTACTTTTTGCAACAAAACTTGTACATGTTGCGCGTTTTACCGGCCCAGGACAAACTTGTCTTGCAGCAAGTGACGTAACTCCTGTGTATGGCGTGACTTTTATCCAATCAGAAGTCAGTATTCACGCAACTTGCAGCAACCTTTATTTGTTGCAAGACAGGTTTGAATGTGGGTGGTAAAACGCGCAACATCGCTATTCAACTCGTTTTGCAGCAATGTTGCAAAACAAGTTGCACGTTTTTGTCGCCCGTTTTACCGTACTTTAGACGCATACATGTCCAGCCCACGCCAGTACTACAAATCCTAGAACTCCAGTCACGATGTAGCTTTGAACCACGCGTAGTCGAACATAGGGCTTCATTTTTCTTTCGGCCAGGGGGAAGGGGGAATTAAGGCGAGTGAATACATCAAGCGTGCGCGAGGGAGGGAGAAGAAGGGAAACCTTCCCTCCTTCCTCGCGAGCCTATCGCATTATTATTCTCCATTTCCTTTCTGCATCAAACCCCTGCCACGCAAACTATACCTTATGCATTACCATAATTCAATGTTGTATAGTGCTTCCTGGTGTGAACAAAAGAAGAGTATTTTTCTATTTGGCTGGTTGCTTATAATGTTATTAGACA